ACAGTGCAGAGGTAGTGAGGGCTCTGAATAAGGTCCTCTTGGAGACTGGTTACTACAAGGCAAGGCTAGGGAAGGTAATGGGATACAGACTGCTTCCTTGACACACTGCCAGGCAGCTAAAACAAGCACAATCCCTGTGTTCCATGTTTAGCTTTGTTTTTGCCAACCTAAAGGGACTCCCCACCTCTGTTCAAGTATTACTGGCTAAGCCAGGGCAGTCTTTCAGCCTGGCATTCCCTGTAGCTTATTGAAATGCACTTATTTAAAGAGTAGTTGGTCACAGGAATAGATATTATGCAGATGCTCATGCATCCAGTGAATGAAGCCTAAAACAAATGGCTGAATCAGGATAAACTACATTCAAGGCTGTAACGTGATTTGCCCCTTCCCACTTTCTCTTTGGCTGTTTCCTGCAGACTGCGCTATTCCTACTGCCTGAATCCCCTCCTCTCCGAGGTAGTATCTGCCATCATGCAAAAGCTGAGAACCTCTGGATGAACAGATAAAACTGAACCTCTTTCTATTGTCCTTCAATATCTCCTTTTTTTCCCTTCCACTTCCTGACCCATCTTTGCCCCCGCACCGTTTTCATCTCACCAGCTCTTGGCCCTTTGCGTCTCCCAAGTTCTCCTACTGCTGGATCTGTTGCCCACCATTCCCTCAGCCTGTTACTCCTCCCTCAGTTTTATACTGCCACTTTCTCATTCAGCTGCCACAGGCCCCCCTCCTCACCCACCTTTCCTGTGCCTCAAGAGCTCTGAAGGCACGGTAGGAGCACTCAGCCTGCAGCCGGTCCAGCATGCGGTGTCAGGAAGTCTGCTATGATTCTCTGGCAGCCTCTTTGCATCCCACATGGTTTGGGTGCCCTGCCAGTTAATGAAGGGCTCTGCGTGTCACTGGCAGGACATGTTACTGTCCTTAACACTGAGTGACACAAGGACAGTCGCTGTCCTGAGGCTCCACTAATAGGATTTCAGGAAATGCTTTCCCTTCGTCTGTCACAAAAATAATTCATCAAGTAACTGTGCGGGTAACCCAAGCCCCCTCTGATTATAAACCTGAATTTGGCATATAATGAAGAAAGCAATCAGTTGAGTCACTGTACATAACAACATAGTATAGAAGATGCTTCACAATGCATCTAGCCACTTTTACCCTGTTCACATAAATTTGACAGGTTAGTCATTATATTATAGGAAAAAATGAAAGGAAAAAGTAGCTGAATTTTAAATGTAAAACAAACCAAACCTTTGCAGCTTGATGTTCTTTGCAAGTCAAACAAGCTGGACTGTGCTGAATTGCTGGTTCCCAGAGAACACTGCAGCACATCTGTACTGCTCCTCAGCGCTTCCTCCCTGCTCCCAGTGAGCCGACCACAGCTTTTCAGTAAGCTTCATTCTGCCACTCTCATCCTTCATTACAACACATCCTTCATCAAACACATCCTGAGCTCTACCACAGGCTCCAATGGGAAGCTTCCCACATCAGCCCGCTTCAGAGCGAGTTTCTGAAGGTTACTCTATCAACGCCTACTTTGCAGCAAGTGTCTCACATGACATAAAAATGTTTGGTTTGAAAAGAGCTACAGATCTCATCCTCCACTCCTAATACTTCCAAAATCCTCACCAGGGATGTGGTGCGTGTGTGCAAGTGAGAAAGGACATGGACAGGCACGGATTAGGAAGAACATATTGAAGCTCAGTGGATCTCAGGCTGTGGGATGCTGAGCACTGTGCCAAAGGCAAGGAGACCACATGAGCTCCTCGGAAGCAGTGTGGGACTTGTGGCTGGCAGAGGGGTGAGGATGGAGAGGGCCTAAACCCAAGTATATACACAAACACATACACAAATACATATGAAAAAGAAATAGCTGCTTCAGTGCCCTTACATCACATCCAGAGCAGGCTTTTTTGCCTTCTGCCAAAAAACCAGCCTATTCTCTCACACGTGTTTGCCTTTGACTTCAGTGGATGCTAGATCAGGCCCTGAGGCTGCCCTGTCCACAGCCTGTGCACTCTCCCACGTTCCCATCAGTCCATTTGAAAGAAAGGCATTGATGCATCTCCATAATGCAGCCATTACCAGCACGATACCGAGACAGATCAATCAAAGGCAACACAACAGCCAGATTCAGAGGATTCCAAAATTGAGGTCAGGCTCAATAACTCTTAGACACATGCCAAGAGAGAAACACACACACATATACAGGAAGGCAAATTTTAACTGTGCAAACCTAAAAATGTCACTGGCAGTGATGGACTGAATGCATTTTGGCAAGAACTGTTATTTCCTCCCCCATCACCACCCCTTGCCTCTGCACCAGTGTTCCATAAGGTGCCTTTGTCCTGGTGGCCTGACATTAACCTTCCCCTTAACACACAGCCCACAGATTTTACATCACAAGCCCTGCAGATGGGTGCCCTGCTGCTTTGCTGTGCCCTGAAGGGACTATTACACTGCTGCAGAACACCTTGCCCTAGGAGAGGCCCATTTCATGACTAAATCCCAGCCCCTGGGTCAGTCAGCTGCTGGGAAGCATCCTTAGTGAAATGCCTCAAATTGTAACTGAGCTCCCATCAGCAGGGGCTGGGGAATGTCCTGGTTGTACGACTGTTCTGCTGTACATGAGCTTCTTGTTGCAGTTGCTGCGGATCTACGGACCCCAATGCAAAAGCTGAGAAGCAAGATATTTTCCCAGGTTATGGTTCTGGACTTGTACCAGGGAAAATAAAATCCCTGCAAATCCACTCAAACCCACAGTTCAGCTTAATTATCCCAGTCGACCTTGGCTTCCTGTGCACTTTCTCCTCGGCTGTTTGGAGTCAGTGAATTAAACGATTCCCATTATTGGCAATCATGTGTATCAGAGTGGCATTTAAACCCTACCTGACACAACACCTCATGGCAGTTGACATTTACAGACTAACACAGCAAAGATGATTGAGTTTAGCAGTGAATGGCAATCCTGATTTTAAGATCAAAATCTGAATCAAACACCAAGCTCCAACTCTAAATTTCCTGCTTCACAACACATTCAGCACATCCAGCTAGTAGATCCTAGTGTAAAATGGCAACAGACTCCAGGATCCTCTTCTACCTCTACAGGAAGTTTTTGAAGGTTTCTCCTTTAAGAAGTAAAAATTATTAAAAACATATCGTAAGTATCCTAAGATGACTTACACTGCATTAATCAAATATGGGGTTAGCCAGTGTGTATCTGCAGGGCATGAGTTTCCAGAGAGCAAGGAATTCACGCATGAAGGCAAGCAGTTTTAGGGACTTCTGTGGCATTCAAGGACAATGATGCCACAAGGTATGCTATATTAAGACTCCCAAACAAAAACTATATGTATCAACAGTAAGTCCCCACACCAGAGATTCTGCACTCTAAGCGGTGAGAAAAAAGCAGGGGAGGAGGAAATGAGGCCACAAAGTGGTGATGGAAGTGAATGTCACTACAAGAGTAGTCTTGCTCCCTTGGCACATGCGTGTCCCCAGTCCTGCTGCGTCATTTGCTCTTGTTCTGCTGTTTAATCCCTCAAAAAGCAACATGAAAATACACTACTACAATGCCCATGGATGGGCAGCAGTGGGTTCCTGCCTTCTCTCACCCATCAGCTGCAAACTCCTCAATTAAATGCTGTGGAGAGCACCACTCAGAACCTGAGCTTGACAGAGCCCAGAAAAGCATTTCTCCACCCTTATTCTAAGGAGAATTATTGCCACTTTTCCATGTGTATGGGTGAGACTGGTCCAGCCTGTGTGAAAAACATGCAGCAAAGATGAGAAACACACTCAGTCTCCCCATAGCCCATGTCAGCCCCTAAGAACTGCAGTATCTTAGCTCTGTGAGTCCTGCATGCCTGTTCCTGCTTATTTGCTGGCTAAGCATAGCACTATGTTGGGTTACAGCAAAGAGACATGACTTTGCCTTCATCCCCCCTTAAACAATCATCAGCAGCATGGTCACCTGAATGCTTACACAGGATTTCTTTTACCTTTGGCTTTTATATTTTGGCTATCCCCAAGAGAAGACTCTTCAACTCTAAACCCATTTACTTTTAGCAGAGAGATCCATTTCCAGCACAATTGCTTATGAAATGGCTGTAGGGTCCAAGAGCCTTAAAATTCTTCAGCTGCTGAGAAATTATGGATAGCATCTCCAAATGGTGTCAACAGCCAGCAAACATTGCTAGAAAGATCTCTTTAGCATGCATGGATGGATGCATCAAGGGCAGTTGTGTCTGTACAAGAGAAATTCCTCTTGCACTGTGCATTTGGGATTTAAAGTGGGAACTCGGCACAGAGAAAATTAGCATTTACTTCTAAACCAGGAGCCTGCTTTGCATATTTCATTTTGACACAGTCACACTTTTTTTTTTTTGTGTCTCCCAAATAACAAGCTGAATCCTAAAATCCTGACACAGTTTACAAATAGACCCAGTGAGCATCCAGTGAAATATGCCTGGGCAAGGGTGAATAGATGCTGACACCGAACTGTGGTATTCCCGGTCAGATTGAGCAACACATTCCTATGCACATAGTTGGTGGTTTCAAGGTGGTGTTTCTCGCAAGCCACAACAGGAGAATCCATCCTTCACACGCAGAGAAATGCACACAAGAGCAACGTGAGCCATCCATGCACAGCAGCAGGGTGGTTTCCTACCCGAGCCCAGAGGAGCTGAGCAGCTGCTCTGCACCAGCCTGTCCTCTTGCCCCCAGGGAGATGACCCTGTCCCATCTATTAAGAGGCACCAATGCACCGTCATGCCTCTCCTGAAGGCTTCTCAGAGCACTGCCCAGGATTCTGGGTAAGGATGCAAGCTGTGCAAACCTGGATGAAGATGCAGCCCTTGCTGTGGAGAGATAGTGCCCTTCTAAAGCACTACTCCCTCATGTTAGCTCCCCAGAGCACTCTTGGTTCCACCTAACGTTTTCCCATGGAGGACCATTATCCAGTAGTCTGCAGAGTTCCATGGTGGGGTATGGAGGTGCGTTACCTGCAGTCTCCCTGTCTCCTGCTGACAGCTCCCCGTTGATCCCATTTTCTTTGGTCCGAGCATATGTCCCTGGCTGCTCGTGGCTGCCCAGCCCTGGCTCCTCATCCTCTCGGTAGGGAAATCCATTGGCACTTCTGACCAGTCCAGCACCTGCGCCGCCCTGTTCCTTAATTTCAGGTGAATGTGGGTGCGCAGAGGCCTCTGTTAGCTGACCTGCAGTCCAGTGAGGTGCCTTGGCTTCGTCCTTCCTATCCTCCGCCATGGCCTCTTGCCTTCACTGCTTGGCCTGTAACGACATGAGCAGGAAAGGTCAGCTGCAAGCAGGCGACTGTGCCCCTCACCATGGGTCAGTGCTGCCAGAGAAACTCAGGTCCAGCAGATGAGAGAGGGTTTACATGCAAAAGCGTCTCTGATCGTCTGTCCTGGGGGTGAGGGAACTGCTTTAAAACTAAACCAAACCACAAGCAGTAAAAATTATGGGTCAAGTCCTCCCTGACTCTCATATTGCCTTGCAGTTATTAGCAGGAGTTTCTTGAGAGCTGCCCTTTTGTTAATCTGCTTTTAACTCATTAATTACAGTTAAATGCTGACCCACTTAATGAGAAATGAATCAGTCGTCAGCATGCCATGACTGCGGAAAGAGGTGAAACTGATGCTGTTATTTTCAATGCAGTTGCAAAGAGCAGGTGCTCTTCAGGCACAGAACCACAAGGCAATGGATGGGTCCTCTGCAGCATGAGCAATCTGCTGCTAGCCACGTCTGAGAACATTCACTGATGGACTCCTGAACATATGTGCTATCTGACCCTGTTTATATTCCCTCACACTTGCTGTTTTGTGAACATTCACACTCATTCCCTTTTGTCCAGAAAAGCCCATGGGGAACAGTTGCTTCCCACACAAGCAGTTGCATTCTCTTATGATTCTCTTGTGTATTTACACATAAACAAAACTAATCATTAGTTGAAATTCATACTTATTTCACTCCCGCTAATCAGCTCTCATTAGTCCAAGCCAGGAATAGAAGGAATTGCACAAGTCATAAGCTTTGGCTACTCCTCACAGAAAAACATAGGAGTAGCAGTTCATCACTAGCAAACCTAGGAAGACAACACATCGTAACCGTGTTTCCATGATCAGGTAACCCTGGGGAGGAGAGCAAGGCTTGACCTGAGCTAGCTACTTCAAAGCGAGAGCCAGCAGGCCTTTCCCAACAGCACTGACCACATTTATTTCTCCTGGGAGAAGAAACTAACATGTAAAAGAAATCAGTAGTACGCGGTCACTCAGCCACGTACCATAGAGGCTGAGCAGCCAGGGAATGCAGTGCAAAACTAGATGGTGCATATTATTCATCAGGGACTGTAGCAATAGGACAAGGGGTGATGGGTTTAAACTGAAACAGTCAGGTTAGATATAAAGAAGTTCTTTACTGTGAGGGTGCTGAGGCGCTGGCACAGGGTGCCCAGAGAAGCTGTGGCTGCCCCATCCCTGGCAGTGTTCAAGGCCAAGTTGGACACAGGGGCTTGGAGCAACCTGCTCTAGTGCAAGGTGTCCCTGCCCGTGGCAGGGGTTGGGACTGGATGAGCTTTACGGTCTCCTCCAACCCAAACCAGTCTGGGATTCTATATATTCTGTAGGCATTTAACAAAATCAACCAACTAAACCAGCAAAACCCCCAGTTCCCACAAAGTCGTTAGCTCACAGAAAACCTCTAAACATTGGGAAAAGCTGTGGTTATTTGTGAGATAATCATTCCCAATTTGCAACTGAACCCCTTTCTCACTGGATATCATCACTGAATAATAATGGCTTTCAGAGGTACTTTAAATTAAAAAGAACAATGTTGAACCATGAAAATCAGATTTCACTCATGATAAGTAAGTGACGCAAAGTGTGGTTCCACCCCAAAAAGGATTCATCGCTTTTGTGCAGCTCTGCTCTTGCCCTCACCCAGCACCATTCCCTGGGTATGACGAACTGCATAAGAGACTCCAGAAGCAGGTAAAACTTCAAGCACAGAATTTCCTCTGAGCTGCAATGAAAACAGTCGCTGAGCAGGCTCACAGAGCTCGGTGGCAACGAGAATTGCCTTGATCAAGCACAGAAACAGTAAACACGATCCGCAACCCTCTGCCTTTGCCACCTCCTTTACCCTGATGGGACACTCATCAGTGAGCCATTCTGCATACAGCACAAGAGCCTCAATGCGGCCACCTCAAACCTTACCGGGAAAGCAGATGCAAGTAATAATGAAGGACAGAGCCTCAGCTGAGCAGAGCATCCCCTGTGTAGCCAAGAGACAACTCTCTACCTCCAGGTCTGTTTGCTGCATGACACGACACAACAATTTATGATGACCGCCTTTCCAAAACACAAGGCCACGGCACAAATGCCTCCCTCTCTGCATGAGTGAGAAGCAGTGTTTGGGGTCCAAGCACAGAACAGAGCCTGTTCTAGGAAAAAAGGGCACATTCTCATCCCTGAGATGAGAATGCTCAGCTACAAATGTAACTGTTACATCCTACCGCCGCAGTCTGGAGGCTATTATCCCTCAAGTGCCCTTCCTGGCTCCAGGCAGACACTCCCTGCTTCACTCGAAACTCCTGAGGAAGGGTATTCACATCCTTACAATGGACTGTGTCAGAGTCCCCTGTGAAAGTAACAGAAGTGCTTTTATCTTTAAAAAATAAATACAGCGGGCAGGCTCCAATGAGGGCTGCGTGTATCTGGAGGCAGAATTTGGCTCAGTATTTATAATAGATGGTTACAGAGTGAAACATGGATGAATTCATTCTTGACTCTGTTATTCATCAAGTACTCTCGGAGTTTATAATGGTAGTAGAAACACAGCGAGTGAGTCACACAATGCATCTTTATACTCAGCACTTTAGCGCTGACTCTCTGCTGGGTGGCGTGATTCATCCACAGCTCAGGTTCACATCCAGACTCCACAGGTGCGCCTTTCACCATCAGGTTAGGTTTTTTCCTGCCATTTCAATACATACCATGAAATTCAATTAATCAGGTAATTGAAATATTGACACAGAAATACCAAGAGTGGACAAATATTATGGCAGAACTTACACAGTGTTAGGTATATAGAAAGAAGAAACTTGGAAGTGTTTGGACAATCTTAAGGAAACACAGCATTTGAGAAGCAAAAGGTTCCTCTTTCCACCATGATTGTCTTATTCTCGTATAAACAGCAACAAAGGCTTTCAAAAGACATCTGAAAAGCAGCACAGCCAGTCTTCTGGAATGTCATGTTGCCTTGGTTAAAATTTATTTGGGTATTTGAGCCTCCTCACCCAGGGCAGCAGAACCACATTACCAAGGAACACGCAGCACTGATCTTACTGGGAGGTTTTCTCTCTTCTCCTCCACCAGCTGACGTTAGTGGTGGTGAGAGGTGACCAAGGCAGGCACTGGACTGTGGCAGGGAGGGCAGCGCAACCCCATACCAGCCTCAGCTTCATCAACACCCGGCACACCAAAGCCACACTGGTGACACCATGGGAACAAGTACGAGCCTCAGTGCAGGCTGGGTTAGCTACATGACACGGGATCATGGAAATACTCCTCCATCAGTGTGTTCCTCACTTTGAAGCCTGATCAAAGCCAGCCATGCAAACCATGGCATGGGAATCGGGTGGAAATGACCGCTGTTGTGCACCACAGAAACCACCTCAGTGGTACTGACCTACATGTGGACAATGCATAACCCTCCCTAAACTGTCTTCCTTGTCCACACTAACATGAAGGATGCTACCGAGACTCTGTCAGAGAGATCATGCTCCATGGGCAGCCGCTGGCAGTAGCAAAGCAGCAGTGAAGAGACACTTCACAAACCCTGAATTTGTATCCTTGTAACTCAGGCAGTGCCCTAGGGACAGCATTATGGATCTGAACTGGACATCCTGCCTTCTAAACTAATAACCTGTAGCAGAAACGATGGTAAAAAAAAAATCCCCCATTCTTTCCAGCCATTTGGGAACTGTGTAGAGACAGAAAATACTTCAATAACTTTGAATTAACACAGAGGGACAAACCTTGTGGGACATGTGGAACACCTTTGCCGTTACCTCCTCCCTTCACAAGCACTGTAAATATGTCTCCTAACCCATATGCTCTTTTATGTGACACCAGCTCCTGCTGCCACGGCTGGGTTGAACCAAGCCCAAGTGCTTTGAACTCCAGAAACAACAAATCACCCACAGTAATACAGCACAAGACCATGATATGCAAAACCCAAGATAATGTTGATTTAAACATCCTGTCATTCTAGCTATCCTTGTATGTATTACCCGGGTACATCCTGCAGAATCACCTTAGCACTGTATTAACATTGCCTTTGCAGGTAAGCAGATGAATTTTCTACAAATTCCACTTTTTAGGAGTACTTTTTAAGAGAACAGAATTAAACCAGTATAAAGAATTTTGCAAATACCCTGCTTGAAGCCATGCTTCTACCTACTCCTGCATCTATTGTCCCTTCACAGTGCGATGGGGCTATTTGGTTTCAGGGAAGCTAATTCATTAGCTAAGAGAAACAGCCACTTGGATACATGGATGAAGAGCTACAGTTACAGTTCAGGGCAGTAAAAACAACACCAGAGTTCCTGAAAGGAGAGACAACATGCTCTTCCAGAAAGGAAAACAATCCCTGGCAGGGTCATGACCAAACCCTGAGCTCGGTGGGAGGGAGGGGGAATGAGAAGGAATATGCTCCATGTATGGCTCCAGGGCCAAATCCTGCTTCCCAGGGGACTATCTAGCTCAGATGTCCCAATAGCACTAACTCAAGCTACCGTGCTCCATGAAGGCAGGCTGGGGCAGGTAGGCATGGGCAGCATGGCCTCAGGTACCCAGGGCTGCCAGAACTCCTGAAGGAGACTCAAGCCTAAGAGATTTTTTTAAATGAAACTTAAGAAATTCAGAAAGTGTCTTTCAGAGAAGATGAATTTATGAGATGAGGTGGCCATACATATTTGAAGAGAGCACCAAGAACTAGAGGAGAACGCAGTTAAGATGCCTTCAAATTAGTTATAGTAAAACCAAAGCCAACACAACGAAACCAACCAACCAAACAACACATATTAAAAGAATTTCTTCCTTAATGTAAAAGCCTCAAACCATGTATAGGGTGCAGCCTAACTAACACTGGTGAATAACACAACCAAGAAAACCTTTAATTCATGTCCACTTATCAACTGGCCGACTGGGATGATGTGTCTGAATATTAAATACCGGGCAATGTGGATTAAAAGGTCCCAAGGGAATTTG